TACAGTAACTATAGCAACGAGAAAGGAAACGCAAGCTAGCCCTCTGACAACTGTGCCTTTGTGTCCGTTGGACTTTTTGCTAGATGTTTTGACAGACTGCTCATGTTTGCCCTTTACAAGCAAAAAACTTTTCTGGCAAAGCGTATCGTCAGAATTGAAGGGAGTCGAGTGTAACCGCAGTGCTTAACGGTTAATTCCCTCTGCCACTCTGTCTGTACCCAGGGTGCATCTCTGCAGCAAGTGAGAGACAGCTGCCCCCGACCCTAACACACCAGCTCGAAGAGAGGCGGAGCTATCTTCACAACAGCTAAAAGTGTGAAATATTTAACTTCTTTGGGTTCTTTGGGCCAAAACAAACAAACAAACAAAAGTTTTGCCATCGTATAAACGCTATAATTAACTGATGGTCCAAAACTGATCAAACACTGAGCGAAAGAAAGCACCAAAAAGAAAGAAAAAGTGCTTCACTGAGTGCTGAAGTAACTTTTACGAACCCCCCAGTTGTAACACGAGCGATTACATCACCCTCAACCAGTTTAAAAGAACTCTGGACCTCGCTTAAATTTAAAACGGCTCTTAGTGGGGAAAAAGGTGTATAATTTACATAACAATATTTTACGTGTAGCAGTTGATAAATATAGGCCGTGCTCTTTTGCTCTTTTACTCACAAGGGGCATAAAACATGACCAGGGCAGCAGGATGTTCCTCCAGGAAGCTGTCAAAGGACTCATCGGACAGGTGGAAGACCGCAGAGTCTGTCTCTGACCAGGGGACTTCAGGGGTCTTCGGCTGGGGGGGCTGAGGACTAAAACAGGAAGGGGGGTGGAGGGACAACAAGGGCAACAGAGGTAAGACTGAAAAGCAGAGACAGTCCAGCTTATGTGTAATCTGTGTAAAGAAAAATTAAATATAATCAGACGCAGCTGCAGCCCACACTCCACCCAGTATGTCACAAAAACACACATCTGGACAAAAGCAGCCCCACCTTTGTGGTGGAGCACACTGCTCCAGTTCCAAGAACCAGTGGATGTGGCTACAGCATAAACACTCACTGTTATACACGGCCCTCCTCTGCAGCATTTCCTCATCGTTACACGCTCTGGCCTGAGCCAGTACACTGAAGCCAGCGAGGCCGATATATTTAACAACAGCAGAACAGTGAAAACCGAGTGCTAAAAACAACCCTCCAGCAACGTCAACGATCTAATACACAGCTGTGATATATAAAAAGCTCTGGATCAAGGTTTATCAGGGAGTGATAACACTTAAGATTTATCAGACGACAGATATAATCGCCAAGGATACCGACTCTTACCTCTCCTTCTGTGTCCACTTTTTTTATTCTTGACACTACACTTTCGACGAACAAATTCAGACTGCGCACCAAGCTGAGGTCAAGAGACTAAAGCGGAGTGTACAAAAGGAAGCGGCTTCACTAATTCAACAGAGTAGCTTCAGTACAGCTTCTGACTGCAACTGCTCTTGCTGGCAAAATACTTGTATTCATTACGGCAGGTGTAGGAATCCCGTCAGTGCAAACAGCAAAGGGCATTTTTCAGTCCAGTGAGAAAAGAGCGCAGAAAGCTACCGAGGTGGGTGTTAAAAAAAAATCGGAGACGGCTGAATCTGAACAAAGTTTAGGATGTGAAGTTTGGCTGATAAATGAGAAAAGAAAAATAAATCAGCGGCTAAAAGTGCTACAGGAAGAGGACAATAGACTATTCTGGAAAAATCTCTGAGCACTGTTTACTTCAAACACCCTCTTTTTTCGTTTTCGTGCAGCATCTCAGATGAAGAAAAAGAAAAAAAACTGCAAATGTAATGGTGCTTGCAGGAGAGGCTTTTTCCACTTTCTTTCTTTTCTTTCTTTTTAAACCATATGGAACATATTCCTGTGAAAATCAGCTACACTGGTGAAGCCTGCTTCTGCTCAAGTTAAAAAGAGATTTTCCTCCCCACTGTCATCAAGTGCTTACACACTCGGCTTCCCTAAAATACTCTAAACTCTTACTTTTATTATGTGAAGCGCCTGGAGAATAGCTTCTATGTGCTGTGGTGGTTGTGTGCAGCACATTTAAGGACATGATTAGTTTAAAATTAATCAGATTTAATATATTAATTCAGTCATATTGTGCATATTAAGGTAACAAACTTTTTACTCAAATATAAGCTGCAATTAGACTTTTTAGCCAGCTGGCTCACTGCTTTTAAATCAGTCTCCGAGTCCTAAATAAACAAGTTAGTCAAAGTCTAGGAGTGGGGATGGTGAGTTCTGCCTCTGGGCTAATAAGAGCCCAAAGAGCCCAGAGGCACACGGAGTACATCCCCTGCCAGTCTCGCTCCGTTTCCTGCGATAGCTGTGAAAGCCTTGCTCCGTGCCCTCTGGCTGCAGGCCTGTGGACAGTTGCGACTTTCCTGCCAGTAAGAGACGGAGGGGTTACGGGCAGAGTGTGAGCCAAGGTGAGAAAGAAAAATGAGACAGGAAGCGAGCAGGTGTAGATTGATGACACTGTGGCAAGGTGAGTCAGGGTGAGCAGAGAGAAGAGCGTTTGTGAGAAAGAGCACAGCAAAAGGAAAAGGTGATGCCTGACATTTAAGATGTGTGTGTGTTTGTGTTTGTGGTGGGGGGGTACTTGTTAGAGGCAGAAAGTAGACTTGAGTTCAGAAGCTTCATCGTGTCTTTTTTATATTAGTTAAAACTAGGGATGCACCGATAGCGATACTGGTATTCGGTATCGGTACCAGTACCCGATACCGGTATCGGGTATCGGGGCCGATACTGTAAAATGTGTGTGTACTCATACTCGTGAAAGTTAACCGATACCATGAACCGATACCAACTTATTTCATTAATCAGAGGGTGGCTTGTCATTTTTGTTGTAGTTTTTTAGATTGGCCACTAGGGGGACATCCCCTAGAGACAGTGCCAATAGTTCAGTGATATTCTGTTAAATTACAATGTGGAGACTCTGCAATAACTTAACAGAAGTGCTTATTTTTCACTTGAAATTTTTTTGTGGTCATTTTTATTAAGATATTATTTTTTATCGGCAGAGAATAAAATAAAACCTGTCTTCCAATTCATTGCATTTGTGTGTGTGTGGTAGAAGTATCGGTTTTTGTACTCTGTATCAGCAAGTACTCAGATCCAAGTATCGGTATCGTATCGGTTTGAAAAAATTGGTATCGTTGCATCCCTAGTTAAAACTCCTCCGGACGTCTTCGAGCCTCTGCTTGGTCCTACTTAAAATCGTCAGTAGATGAAGTGACAGCGACCATACTTACTTCTTCAACCAGTCTGCAATGTCCTTGGCTGTGGCGCCGTAGTTCTCGTAGTGGTGAAGGAACTTCCCCTTCCTAAGAGACCAAAGGAGCATGAAAACCAGATCGTCTCTGAAAGCAGACTTCAGCAACGGGCAGAATGACGACTTGGCAATGCGAGTTTGAAAACCACTGCCAAAGACGTCTGTGATTTGATGCTTTTTGTAAACACAACTTGCATTACAGCAACATTACTGCATTTCATTTTAAAAACACACCCCACCCAAAACATGCCTTCTGAAAATCATCACCAGCAGTTCTTAAATGCTCAATACTAATGGTCAGTGTGTTCAGCTTGCTTTGCTTTTGGACTTATGAGATGGAGAAAAAAGCTTATTTTAAGGCAAAGTCTGCAAATCTTTTAAGCAGTTTATATCAGATTTATTGATTCTATGCATGCGGTATTACTTTGATAATAATGTGTAAACAATAAGTGCTGTTTTCAGTTATTTGGAAAGAAACTGACATATAAAACTTACAAAGGTTTTTCTTTTAAAAAAACAAACAAATACTGAACTTTTGGATCGTTTTTGGATGTTTTTCAAGCCAAAACTGAGTCAAAATGAAAACAAAGACTTATTTTCTGGGATGCATCTTTTGATCAGCAGTTCTTGTTAGATGAGGCTGAAACAACATCTCAGTCAGGACTGAAAAAAGTCATGTCGCAGTAGTCCAGATCATGTGCGACAGGATCTTTAAAACAAAACAGTTATGATGGCACCGAGAGTCTCTGACAAAGCTGGGTCGGGCCTTTCGCAACCAGTTCAAAGCCAGAAGGAAATGTTTCAGAGAGCTGCGTCTCTGACAAAAATTTTAACAAGATTGAAATTTCTTTTCTCTGTCTTGAAGTTCAGCTTAAAAAGTGCACATAAGGAATGCAAGTGACCCGACGTAATGCATTTGAAATGAGCTCGAGGCCTCTCTTCAGCCCCGCAGTCTGAAAGACAGATTCAAAACCTAAGCAGATTTTCTTCATAGCAATGAGTTTATCTACTGCATTCACCGTGACTAAACCAAGGCTGGGAAGCGGACATGGCGGCTCAGCCCAATGTCGAAGGATCAATGTGGGTAGTTACTGGCTCTGGGCAGGGTGATTTTGAAAACACAGAAGGTGGTGACGACTGCAGTTACAGCTCCCCAAATACAGAGCGGACACTATTAAAAGGTGATGCATGATTATGCTCTGTGGATTTGGAGCTTAAAACTTGCATCTTAAGTAACCCGACTTCTGCGGCACAGATTGGCTGCTTGGAATTCAATCAGCGAGATTTATGACCGACTCTATATTCACTTGCTTTATCTCTGCTGCTGTAAAGTACACCGAAACCTTGTAAAAAAAAAAAGAGGAAATTTAAAATAAATGTCATTTAGCCAACAGTCTCTAGCATTTGCGTAAAAGGACGCGGCAAGGACAAAGGAGCCGAAAGACTTCCAGGTTTTTGTTTGAATATTCGACAGGAACTTGAGGTGTGCTGTAACTCTGGGAGAGTAAGCTTTCTTAATCTGTGTAACTGAAAACCTAAAAGACCTTGAAAACTTGGGTCTTGCAAACGGGTGCAATGGAGAGATAACTCCGACGGTGCTGATGCTGATTTACCCTGCAGTGATTAGCTGCTGTTTATCAGTGAGGGGCTCATTACTGAAGCCAATGGGCTCGGATGGTCGTTAGCTAGCCGTGTGCTGACACTAATGCACTCGCGGCTAACGGACTGGCTCCGGCTCAGCTACACACAAGTGTGCTGGTCAAACACACACAGTACACACACGAGATAGAAAGAAGTGCACACAAACAGGAAGAAGGCACACACACACACACACACACACTAACCACAGAGGCACTTAATCAGTCCTGGTCTAATTAAAAGGCCAGACTGGAATGAGAGAGTGTTTAATGTGGAAACAGGGATGATAAAGCCAGTGCAGGAGACATAAAGAAGCAGAGCACGGTGGCACCCCAGTAGCCTCATATTTAGGGCGTGCCCCACAAAACAGCGATGCCTACGGGCTTGACCCCCAGCTGACCTTCGCTGCATGACATAATTTCGCTGCTTTTCCTTCCAGGTGTCTATTGCAAGAAAAAAAATGCAAACATATTAAAAAAAAAAACCCAAAACAAGCAGAGAACAGAGTGGGAGCACTTAGTTAACAACACTGTAAATATGTGGACAGTGCAGAGAGGCTCCAGCTGGGTGGGGTGGGGGTGGGGGTGTCTGCATTAACAAACACTATCAGTCACACTCTCTATTCCTGCTGCGTATGTGGCCGCAAGCTGTGATTTTGTGTGTCTATTCATATTTGGACACTAGCGCTGAGCAGTAATCTGAAGTTATCAGATTGCCAGCAGCATACATTTCTGCAACACCTAAAAGAGAGTGCTAAATCAATGTCACATGTGGCCTTAAGGTGTTGTTAAAGATAACAAAAAAACTCTGCTACAGCATATTAAAAGCATTTACTTAGTCGACCGTTTTAATAATTTAAAACGCTGCCTTTATTAGGACCAGAGGCAGTCTTCGCGCAGACAACGGCGCTGTGTGAAACAATGCAACGGCTCGCTTCACATCAGAGGGCCGTGTTTGTGAAGACAGGAGGCTGAAATAATGAAGGGCTGTCCGGTTTAAGAGCTAAACTTTACTCACTTACTGTTACAGGGCAAGCCGGTGAATTAGGCAATCAGAGTTTGTGCTTAAAAATTCTGCCTCATAATATTTTATTTGGCCCTCGAGCAGCGTTTAAAGTCCAAATGACCCTTGAAAGTCATAGATCTTCTCTACTACATACGCAAATGACTTTCTGGATCATAAGCCTTCCAATGACAGGTAACTACAATCTCACATTAACTAAATAAGCCCTGTCGAAACTGTCCGAAGAAACCTTAA